CTGGAACCTGGAAGCGTCTGAAGGTTCTCGGCAAGTTGAGGTCCCCAGCTGCCTTCTGGTAGCACAGAGTCGCCGGTGATTGGTGGAGGCCGGGCCGCCTCGACCAATGAGAGGCGGCGAGTGATTCCCAGTGCGCCGTCTTGGTGGGTCGCCTTTTTTTTTATCTTGAGGCGGATCAGTGGCGCCGAAGAGACCAGTCTTGCCCTGTTAATTTGTCCTCATTGCTTGAGAGGAGTCGCTAACTGGACAGTCTCCAGTTAACGTCCGGGTGCCATAATTTGGCTCCCTTCCCTCTTGTCTTGTGCCGGCATATGATGATGGTGGGTGGCCACCAGAGTCGCCACAGTGCTCTTGCAGTGAAAGGGAAGTAGAGGAAGGGGGGATATGCGTAGCTAAGGCAGTCACGCCACCTCGTGTAACTATTATTAATATGAGCTTACCTAGATCTGTAGTGTTCATCCCCATGCTGCCCCCTTCACCTTCACCTGCCCCCTTCACCTTCACCTGCCCCCTTCACCTGCCCCCTTCACCTTCACCTGCCCCCTTCACCTTCACCTGCCCCCTTCACCTTCACCTGCCCCCTTCACCTACCACCCATTCATCAACCTTCTCACTCATCATCAACCCAAAACTCGAGCGTCTGCACCATACACATTTCTCACAAAAAATTACGAGCTTTATAAAATACTTTCTGGAAATCCATATGAATTGCACATCCTTGCCTTCATGCTCCCTTACCTTGCCTTCATGCTCAGTTACCTTGCCTTCATGCTCCCTTACCTTGCCTTCATGCTCCCTTACCTTGCCTTCATGCTCCCTTACCTTGCCTTCATGCTCCCTTACCTACTTACCTTACTACGCATTACAATATTATAGAATATATCATTAGGCTTTGTTAATCATAAATAATTTAGCCAAGAGCTACGCTGTGAACATTTCATTAGTTGCCGACACTAAATGGTGTACAGATCTGGCTAGAACCATTGTGTCTGTAATGTCATTGTCTGTCTGGTATGTCTGTGTGGCTTGGTTCATGTCTGTGTGGCTTGGTTCATGTGTGTGTGGCTTGGTTCATGTGTGTGTGGCTTGGTTCATGTGTGTGTGGCTTGGCTCATGTCTGTGTGGCTTGGTTCATGTGTGTGTGGCTTGGTTCATGTGTGTGTAGCTTGGTTCATGTGTGTGTGGCTTGGTTCATGTGTGTGTGGCTTGGTTCATGTGTGTGTGGCTTGGTTCATGTGTGTGTGGCTTGGTTCATGTGTGTGTGGCTTGGTTCATGTGTGTGTGGCTTGGTTCATGTGTGTGTGGCTTGGTTCATGTCTGTGTGGCTTGGTTCATGTGTGTGTGGCTTGGTTCATGTGTGTGTGGCTTGGTTCATGTGTGTGTGGCTTGGTTCATGTGTGTGTGGCTTGGTTCATGTGTGTGTGGCTTGGTTCATGTGTGTGTGGCTTGGTTCATGTGTGTGTGGCTTGGTTCATGTGTGTGTGGCTTGGTTCATGTGTGTGTGGCTTGGCTCATGTCTGTGTGGCTTGGTTCATGTGTGTGTGGCTTGGTTCATGTGTGTGTAGCTTGGTTCATGTGTGTGTGGCATGGTTCATGTGTGTGTGGCTTGGTTCATGTGTGTGTGGCTTGGTTCATGTGTGTGTGGCTTGGTTCATGTGTGTGTGGCTTGGTTCATGTGTGTGTGGCTTGGTTCATGTGTGTGTGGCTTGGTTCATGTCTGTGTGGCTTGGTTCATGTGTGTGTGGCTTGGTTCATGTGTGTGTGGCTTGGTTCATGTGTGTGTGGCTTGGTTCATGTGTGTGTGGCTTGGTTCATGTGTGTGTGGCTTGGTTCATGTGTGTGTGGCTTGGTTCATGTGTGTGTGGCTTGGTTCATGTGTGTGTGGCTTGGTTCATGTGTGTGTGGCTTGGTTCATGTGTGTGTGTGGCATGGTTCATGTGTGTGTGGCTTGGTTCATGTGTGTGTGGCTTGGTTCATGTGGGTGTGGCTTGGTTCATGTGTGTGTGGCTTGGTTCATGTGTGTGTGGCTTGGTTCATGTGTGTGTGGCTTGGTTCATGTGTGTGTGGCTTGGTTCATGTCTGTGTGGCTTGGTTCATGTGTGTGTGGCTTGGTTCATGTGTGTGTGGCTTGGTTCATGTCTGTGTGGCTTGGTTCATGTGTGTGTGGCTTGGTTCATGTGTGTGTGGCTTGGTTCATGTGTGTGTGGCTTGGTTCATGTGTGTGTGGCTTGGTTCATGTGTGTGTGGCTTGGTTCATGTGTGTGTGTGGCTTGGTTCATGAGTGTGTGGCTTGGTTCATGTGTGTGTGGCTTGGTTCATGTGTGTGTGGCTTGGTTCATGTGTGTGTGGCTTGGTTGGTTTATGTGTGGGTTGGTTTATTAATGTGTGGGTTGGTTTATTAATGTGTGGGTTGGTTTATTAGTGTGTGGGTTGGTTTATTAATGTGTGGGTTGGTTTATTCATGTGTGGGTTGGTTTATAAATGTGTGGGTTGGTTTATTAATGTGTGGGTTGGTTTATTAATGTGTGGGTTGGTTTATAAATGTGTGGGTTGGTTTATAAATGTGTGGGTTGGTTTATTCATGTGTGGGTTGGTTTATAAATGTGTGGGTTGGTTTATTAATGTGTGGGTTGGTTTATAAATGTGTGGGTTGGTTTATTAATGTGTGGGTTGGTTTATTCATGTGTGGGTTGGTTTATAAATGTGTGGGTTGGTTTATTAATGTGTGGGTTGGTTTATTAATGTGTGGGTTGGTTTATAAATGTGTGGGTTGGTTGATTAATGTGTGGGTTGTGTTATTCATGTGTGGGTTGGTTTATTAATGTGTGGGTTGGTTTATTAATGTGTGGGTTGGTTTATAAATGTGTGGGTTGGTTTATAAATGTGTGGGCTGGTTTATTAATGTGTGGGTTGTGTTATTCATGTGTGGGTTGGTTTATTAATGTGTGGGTTGGTTTATTAATGTGTGGGTTGGTTTATAAATGTGTGGGTTGGTTTATTCATGTGTGGGTTGTGTTATTCATGTGTGGGTTGTGTTATTCATGTGTGGGTTGTGTTATTCATGTGTGGGTTGTGTTATTAATGTGTGGGTTGTGTTATTCATGTGTGGGTTGGTTTATTAATGTGTGGGTTGGTTTATAAATGTGTGGGTTGGTTTATTCATGTGTGGGTTGTGTTATTCATGTGTGGGTTGTGTTATTCATGTGTGGGTTGTGTTATTCATGTGTGGGTTGTGTTATTCATGTGTGGGTTGTGTTATTAATGTGTGGGTTGTGTTATTCATGTGTGGGTTGTGTTATTAATGTGTGGGTTGTGTTATTCATGTGTGGGTTGTGTTATTCATGTGTGGGTTGTGTTATTCATGTGTGGGTTGTGTTATTCATGTGTGGGTTGTGTTATTAATGTGTGGGTTGTGTTATTAATGTGTGGGTTGGTTTATTCATGTGTGGGTTGTGTTATTCATGTGTGGGTTGTGTTATTAATGTGTGGGTTGTGTTATTCATGTGTGGGTTGTGTTATTCATGTGTGGGTTGTGTTATTCATGTGTGGGTTGTGTTATTCATGTGTGGGTTGTGTTATTAATGTGTGGGTTGTGTTATTAATGTGTGGGTTGGTTTATTCATGTGTGGGTTGTGTTATTCATGTGTGGGTTGTGTTATTCATGTGTGGGTTGTGTTATTCATGTGTGGGTTGTGTTATTAATGTGTGGGTTGGTTTATTCATGTGTGGGTTGTGTTATTCATGTGTGGGTTGTGTTATTCATGTGTGGGTTGTGTTATTCATGTGTGGGTTGTGTTATTCATGTGTGGGTTGTGTTATTCATGTGTGGGTTGTGTTATTAATGTGTGGGTTGTGTTATTAATGTGTGGGTTGGTTTATTCATGTGTGGGTTGTGTTATTCATGTGTGGGTTGTGTTATTAATGTGTGGGTTGTGTTATTCATGTGTGGGTTGTGTTATTCATGTGTGGGTTGTGTTATTCATGTGTGGGTTGTGTTATTCATGTGTGGGTTGTGTTATTAATGTGTGGGTTGTGTTATTAATGTGTGGGTTGTGTTATTAATGTGTGGGTTGGTTTATTCATGTGTGGGTTGTGTTATTCATGTGTGGGTTGTGTTATTAATGTGTGGGTTGTGTTATTCATGTGTGGGTTGTGTTATTCATGTGTGGGTTGTGTTATTCATGTGTGGGTTGTGTTATTCATGTGTGGGTTGTGTTATTCATGTGTGGGTTGTGTTATTCATGTGTGGGTTGTGTTATTCATGTGTGGGTTGTGTTATTCATGTGTGGGTTGTGTTATTCATGTGTGGGTTGTGTTATTCATGTGTGGGTTGTGTTATTCATGTGTGGGTTGTGTTATTCATGTGTGGGTTGTGTTATTCATGTGTGGGTTGTGTTATTCATGTGTGGGTTGTGTTATTCATGTGTGGGTTGTGTTATTCATGTGTGGGTTGTGTTATTCATGTGTGGGTTGTGTTATTCATGTGTGGGTTGTGTTATTCATGTGTGGGTTGTGTTATTCATGTGTGGGTTGTGTTATTCATGTGTGGGTTGTGTTATTCATGTTATTCATGTGTGGGTTGTGTTATTCATGTGTGGGTTGTGTTATTCATGTGTGGGTTGTGTTATTCATGTGTGGGTTGTGTTATTCATGTGTGGGTTGTGTTATTCATGTGTGGGTTGTGTTATTCATGTGTGGGTTGTGTTATTCATGTGTGGGTTGTGTTATTCATGTGTGGGTTGTGTTATTCATGTGTGGGTTGTGTTATTCATGTGTGGGTTGTGTTATTCATGTGTGGGTTGTGTTATTCATGTGTGGGTTGTGTTATTCATGTGTGGGTTGTGTTATTAATGTGTGGGTTGTGTTATTAATGTGTGGGTTGTGTTATTCATGTGTGGGTTGTGTTATTCATGTGTGGGTTGTGTTATTCATGTGTGGGTTGGTTCATACATATCTTTGGAAATTCTCATTATCTGCCGATGTGGACCTGACCAAATGTA